CGACCTCGCACTGCAACGCTAACTATTGGATAAGAAACAAAAGACCTGTGAATGAATGGAGGGACCTACACTCCCTCGACCCCGTGAAGCACTACTAAACCTGCACAAAGCTACCCAGCAGAAGAACAGTAAAGTATCACTGCTCAATTTTGTTCTGTACTTCACAAATGATGTCTGTCTGTCTGACCAATTTTACAAAAATGAGGTCTCACTTTGGAATTTCAAATGCAACAACAAAAAAGACAATTGCACCTCGGTTACTCACTCCACACTGTACTGGTCCAGTGGTTTCCAGGGGATGTGGTGCAGTACTATAATTTACCATTTTTGTGTACCTCCAGTTTCCCCAAATTTGCCTGTTGAGTGTGTGATCTTCCACATTTCCCAGAGCGCTGATGGTGATAGCAAAGGTTTTCTATGCAAGAAAAACTAAAGAGTGAGGAGAGAACAATGCCATAGACCAGCATGCCCAGCTGTTCAAATTACATCAAATTACCCTGCAACAGTGTTGAATTTCACATAGATTGCCGTCCAATTGTTGAATGTCGTGGCAAAATGGTATGTCTATAAAGAAACCACTGTTTCTTGATTCTGCAGGACTGACATTAAAAACACAAATTTTCTTTCATCATGTCTTTAGATAAAGGACAGGTGCAACCATATTGACATAAAAATATAAAATTATATTAAAAATATCAAGCAACTAAAAGAATTATACAATATACAGTACGAGTGCAGTCCATTTAATGTTAGATAAATGCAAACCATATGATTAATAAAAATACCTTTTTGTCAGGTTAGAAACTAATTTTTAACTTTTTAATTTAATTTATTTATGTGGCTGCGGCTGTAGCAGTGGATTCAGCTGTAAACACAACATTGACTTACTATCATTTTTAAATGTTGTTATGGCGAAGATGTTAGCAAACAAGAACGACATTAGCATTTATTTGGAGTCATGCTACTGGCAACCTGATGAATGTTAAGTACAATATTCACTTTCCTTTAAGCTCTATTTTTGCCTGCACCACCTCCAGAAGGAAATATTTGACTAGCAGCAGCTATGCTCCAACTACTGTACAAGCTAGTCACTAACTTTTTCTGTCTGCTGTTTGGTGGGAATGATGCGCACAGTGGGTTTATCAGAGCTTTATGGCTAAATACAGATTTCCGTGGCTTGAAATGTTGTTGATGAGAGCAGTGAAAGTGAACCAAAACATGCCTGTTTGGCAACCTGTCCGTCTGAAATAGAAGGAAAAAAACATCATGAAACACAATCGGCCTGGAAGTGCAAGGTACATTACCTCCACTTGTTTAAAATGTCTTTAGGGTGAAATTTCCTTTTAAATCTTTCAACCAAACCAGCTCTGCCCTGACTTGAAAGTCATCTCACACCTAAAGTGTGATTAGAAACTTGTCCTCAGGGTAGTTCATATGCCTGAGCGCTGGATATCATGTTCCACTAGACATACATCTTTAAGAAATCAAAGAATCATTATGTTCCTGGTCTAGTGGGAGACATAAGAAATATCCCAACATATAGAGGAGTTTTCTGTTCAGATAGGATACCACAGCCGAAGAAGGGAAACCCAACACCCACCTACAAATAACAGTGAGTCAGACATGGTGAGAGGAGCCTTTGACATCTTGATGTATGTGTATGTCGGTGAGTGAGTGAGAGTGTGTGTGTGTGTTGGGCTTGTGTGTGGGAGGCCTGCCATATGCTAGATGTGCCAATGCAGAACTGTAAGGTGCAGTAGGTGAGAACAGACATTATAGCATAGGGTAATTATAGATCCTGTGTTGAAGCCTGACACATCAATTCATGAAACGACCAAGAACATGCTTTCTCCCCTTGTTGTAAAAATGTATGTACTACAAAGAAATAAATGTATTGCAATATCTAACATACAGTATATACAGTACTTATACCTGCAACTACAGATCAGTGTATACGTAAGACTGTTTTTCTTTTATTGATCATTGCTGAAGGTTTAAAGAATTAGTTTAACATTTGGTAAAATACACTTATTCACATTCTTGCCCAGAGCCCATTAGCTTAGCTTAGCATTAGCAAACTGTATTCTTCCCCCCAACCTTTTGCCGTAGAGAAAAAGTCCCCCAAATGATTTAGCTTATTACAAACGTACCTAGTACAAACAGTTCAAAAAAAAAAACAGACACAAATGACATAACTATCTTACTGCCTTTGTGAATGCACAATAAAAGGAAATCCACTTTGGTAGAAGAGATGCAATAAAGATATTCATAAAGGCCTCCTGACAAAGCTAGGTCACAAGCGTTAGCATAATATAGAAAAATCACCTCAATTACTCCCACTTGGCAGAGAGAAACTGAGAGAATGGATGGAGCGATGCGGAGGTTCAATTTGGCAGGCAGTGGCTCTGTTAAGGTCAACCCACCCTCAGATTGACTGGTTGTTTGGTTTCACAGGGAAGACAACAAATGACTGTGGCTGTGCCACGTCCTTATCTGTCACTGCAGATAGAGGGTATCTGGAGGTTTAGAGGTCCTGCAGGGTCACAATAAGAAATGTGGTGGAGGACAAAATCTTCCACAATATGAAACTTCCCAAATTCACTTAACCAGTCATCCTCTGGTGCCCCAACAGACGCACTACCTTTGCTGTCTGTAAACCCATCCGCATTAAACCTGCAATAATTTACTTTTTCTCACTGACATATTTTCACCTTTTATGTTGATATGGCAAGCTTCAGAGTGCACATGCACATGTGTATATCCGAACAGTGAAACACAGTAATACAGTTATCCGAGGGAAAACCGAAATCAATGAGTAAAATGACACTATAAAGCTTTCTTTGCATTAAACATAGTCACTTGTTACAGATGCATTGTTATTAAAATCTAGATAGTAGCCCCCTTCAAGTGAATTTTATGCCAGTAATTACTTTATAATAAACAACACCATGCACTATGACACTTTTTTAGCCTTAGGCATTACACCAATATTCCACATGCTCCAGACATTTTTCTTGCATCTCATCCTATTCACTGGCCTAATGCACCACTGAACACGCACCATACCATCTACAGCTGGAGCATTTGCAGTGTTTGGAGTGCGCAGAGTGATTGAATATTGAAATTCAATACTGTACAGTCTGTGCTCATACAGTAAACTCTAATGTTACATTAGTAACAGTCTCTTTGAACTGTGACCAGTCTTGGCATTTTTGCACTGTGTCAAGATTTACAGAAATATAATGATACTATATGTTGTCATCACAAAAAATTAACATTTATGTGTGTACCATTGTAAACAAATACACATGGAAAAGATAACCAAACTGACACGCATGTTTACCAAAGATATTTCCCTGTACCTTTAAAACAAAGAGTTACAGTGAAATAAAGTGCTTTTCTCCTGATGCCAGGCTTCTGTTGGTGATTCATCAATACAGTCACAGAGACTCTCTAAGTTTCTCTCTCTGTGTGTGCTGTCTGTCTCTCTTTCTCTCCCTCACTCTATAACTCAGTTTTATTCACATCACTCTGTATAATGCATGATAGCACATAGGTCCCCCAAGGCCTTTCATTACATAAACTTGTTGCAAGAGGAGCCTCAGCAGCACTTTTACAACATCCATCAAAACAGGGGCAAGCATGCGTTAGAGTGGTTGGTGATGTATTGCTGCTTAAGCTTCAGTGAAGTCTGAATACAATTACACTTATTTTGAAAGCACACACCAAAAAAGTGTTCTTAACACTTGGAAAGCCGGAAACTACCGGAGAGTACAGGATCAGTAAATGTACACAGGAATGAAAGACCTCCCTCTTTGGGTGAAAAGAATAAAATCCACCTCTGCAGGGCATCATTGTATGAAACCAACAGGGAGAGCCCCTTTCACTGAAAGCTCTCAAAGCCTGGGGATATCAAGCCCTGCTTCATCATTTCGTACATTAACAAATCAACCACATACAGTATAGCATACAGTATGAGACGGAGCAGGCAAGCTGGCCTCAAGAGGACCCACTCTCCCATTCTGATCTCAGTCACTCATCACCTCCCTGCAGCTTCTGCAGCTCTCTTGCACTCTGAGAATAGGAAGCACTGTTTCAGCTGCAGAAAAAAAACGCTCTTTCACTTAAAGTTCACAGTTCCTCAAATCAAATAGAGATATTGAGAGATTGTAACCTTTTCATATCAGACATCTCATCTGGCAGCAAGTGAATCTGGGAGAGGTCTTTATATAAATCCTCAGACATGTAATAGGCTACTTATGTTCATGGTGCAGGTTCATGGATCAGTGCCACCTCCCTTATTACATTAATATGTGATCTGTTGGAGTAGATCCAATGAAGAAGGCTTTACTTTGATATGCTGATGTAAATATCTACTGTGGTTTGCAAGGGGAACTCTACAAGTGACAAATTACGCATATGATGTGTGGTAAGGATATGAAGTGGAAGAAAACCCTGTGGCATAGACTTAGAGTATCATTAACTCACCGCTTGCATTCTTCCCACAGATCAGGTGTTGCCAAGGCAGCAAAGACCCCCATATCTCTGCATCACTGTTGACGGCCTGCTCCAGGATCTCCACGGTGAACTTGGGGATCCCGTTATCCCGCTCCAGCAGCGCACTGCGCAGCACCCGCGCGTACACATCGCGGAAGAGGCTCTCCATGCACGCAGCTAAGTAGATCGCGGCGTGCTCGTGGATCCTCACCGCAACCCTGCTGTCGACCATCCACCTGAAGAACTTCCCCACGTTGAAGATGAGTCCGCAGCGCACCGACTTACCGCGGCTAAACTTGTCCTCCTCCGTGCTCATGTTGTACAGGGACAAGGCACTGAGGGCCGCGCTTATGCAGTTCGTCGAGACGGTCCACGACAGGACGATCTTTATGGCACTTTGGATCTCATGTTTGGTGCATTTGGCGTAGCGCAAACTCAGGCGTTGCGCCTCCTTAGCGACCCTGACCAGGGCCCGGCTTATCAGCACCGAGAGCCTAAGCAGGACGTCCTGCGGGGGGGTCGGTAGGCTCATCTCCTCGTCTCTGCTCAGTGCGCTCACCACTTCCCCGAGGCTCCACGGCACATCCTCAAGCTCGGGTAGTTTAGCGCACTGCCCGGTGCTCTCCAGGATCTCGGCGTCTTCGACCAGGACCGTATTAACAGTGTCCAGACTGTTGTGTCGACTGTGCATCGAGTCGGTTAAATGCCAATGATTCCCCCCATGTGCCTCTGAGCAGCACAACGACGCACTGGAAGATCTGAAGGAGTCGGCGGCTCCACCATAACCCGAGTCTAGCGTCAAATCCTCCAGGGTCCTCGCTACTGACTTGCTACTCCTTGCCATAATTGCACTTCATACTGTAAAAGAGGGCTTGGTAAAGTGGGGGAAAATATTCAAAACGGTGGAGTTAGGGTGCGCACGAGCTCTGCTGACAAATAGTAACCTATTCTGCTTTTTTATGAAAAGTCCGTCGTATAAAGTTAAAGAATAGTATCTCACTACAGTGCATCAACAGTCACACAGTACTGTTCCAGCGCAGTGCCTGACAGATGGAGGCGGGGCGGCGGAGAACCGAGAAAAGCTATCAGCCAATCGACTCTCGGGATGAAGCCGCAAAGAGTTTTATTGGATCGCTTCAGAGGATCAATAACAAGTCATTGATGTAGCCCATGATGGCTTATTAATAAAAAGACGATGTCAATATTGAGCAATTTGCTTGTTTCATTGTCTACAGCCCTTTGGACTTGAATTATAAACTTAATTTCTCAAAACATTGGAATAGCACAAATGCAGGAATCCTGTCAAATGTTAGCCTACATGTAAAAGTAAAATGTAGAAGACAGAAATTGCAGTAAATAATAAATCACACAATATAGAAGTTGCTGATATTATATAACCCTGTTTAGAGGACATGTCCTCCAGAGGATCAGGCTATTCAGATATTTTCTGAGGACCCATGTCTGATCGTAACATGACTCAAGACCATTAATAATAGATTGCATGCATAATGTATCCTTCTCTGCTCCTCTGGAGGAGAACTCATTGAAAAGATCTGAATTACTTTCAAGGTCATTAGCTGGGATCATTCACAGGATCTAACCTAGTCATTAGTTTTTTTCCCCTAAACCGAGCTCTGTGGAATCTGCATGAACACCAATCCACCTTGAATGGAAACATGTGGAAGTACAATGGAAAGTACAGCAGTGGGAATTTGGTTTAAGTTAAATGAAAACATAATAATAATAATAATACTACAGGAAATAATCTAAACTCATGGTAAAAAAAAAAAAAGACAAATGACTCCATGAACTGGAGAATGCTCACTGATCAGTGGGACAGTGGCTGCTTTACAGAGATGCAATGAGACTGTAGCTTCTGCATTTGGCGGCAGGTTGAATGTCTCTCTAGAGCCACAGTGAACCCTGGTGTTGTGCAGTCAAACTTCACTTTATTTGTGAGGACAAAAGGCTTCAATTGCACAACACATTTGGCAAAAAAAATGACGTGCACTGGAATTTTTTGTTTGTGTTAATGGAAAATTGATAAAAAAACAACTAAAGTTTATTCTCCACTGGGCACAGACCTTTTTCACGGAAGATAGGCTACTTAAACATGTCATGGTAGGAAACGCTGGCTTAACACTTAGCTGCTTCAGCTTCAGAGTCCTGGTATTGTGCATGCTGGCTCACGGTCACACTGTCATGACTTACTGCACACTTGAACATATAAAAGCCATTGTTAATGGTATTATTAACACCTGTGTATTTCCTAAGTCAACATGTCTGCTGTAAAAAAGACTAGTCTGTTAATACATTACATGCTGTAGAAATCCATTACAAACACAGTATGAAGACATTCTGTTCAGAAGGTCATATAGAAAAGGACAAAAAAAGTGCAGTGTGCAAAAGAAAAACATGTTTCTCCCAAACAAACTTATAGCGACCTTAAATGTTTTAGTAGGTTCTCTCTCTGCTCTGAATGTGAAAATTGTAAACAGAACACTATCCTCATACATTACTGCAAGACATACAGAAAGGTAGTAGGTGAGAGAAGTGAGAAACGCACTGGACAATAAGGTGAGAGGGAAACAGATACTGTATTTTAGTAGCATGTGGAGTATCAGTATCAATGTGAAACCTTGGGCAATGAGGCTGATGGTCAAAGCTGATTTGGATAGGGCAGATGGGGCAGGTCTACCTCAAGTAGCTTAACCATGTTCTTCACCCGGTATTGTGAATGTGTAAGATAGTCACAGATTATGAAGCTGGATCTTATCCTATCATTTAAATAGAGAAATCAACAGTGCGAAAGAGAGAGACCTGGTTTCATAAGAGTGATGCCCTCGTTCTTCAGTTTCAGGGTGAGAAACAGAGAGATTTACTGATTTTAATTTTAATGTTAATTTATCACACTCATTGCTCTATGACAGCTCTATCTTTTGAGAAAAAAGCTACGATGTTGGGCACCAAAGAAGTTTGGAGAATCATTTCTTGTAAGATTAAAGTAGCTAAATTTGGTAATAAAACTCACCTCGAAGGTTTTTATTAGTCCTAGAAGATAATTTAATATCACAGCAGCGGCCAGGAGCAGTATGTAAGAGGTTACACAACTCAGATTAAGGTAAATAAAAAAAGATAATTTTGTGGCAAAAGCCCTTTTCTAGTTAAAACCTATCTGGAGCCTAAACACAAACTAAGTGACCTGTTTTTAAGCCATGCTATTGGCATGGCTATAAGGATGACAATGTTTGTCTGACAGTCTGCTGGTCAGTCTACCAGTTTGGTTGAGACTGAGATATCAGCAACTATTAGATGACTGACATAATATTTGGTACAGATAGTCATGGTGCCCAGAGTACTTATCTGTCACTTTTTCTCTTGTGCCACCAGCAGTTCCAAGTTTTCATCCTGTGAAAAATCTCAACATGGATTTAATTGATTTGAACAAACTTTTGCACAGACATTACTGTTTCCCCTTAGGATGAATTGTAATAGACCAGCACCACCACCAGGCTTTCAGGCAACTTTCAATTTGTCCAAAATGCTATGGTGTTAGCATGAAGGTAGTGGATATAACTCACTGCTAAAGATCAGCATGTTAACATTGTCATTGTGAGCATGTTGAAATTAACATTTAGCCAAATGAGCTGCTGTGTAGGCCTACAGTCGCACAGAGCGACTAGCATGACTGTAGATATTCTTGTTGCATATTACATTAAATATATATATAGGCCTATATACTGTATGTGTATGTGAACACATGTTGAACAGTATAGCGGTACTCTTTTTGTGTGTCAAAAAGTGGCCAAAGCTGTGACTGATTTAACCAAAGCAAATAAAACCCTTGAAAAATGGGATGAAGGGGATTCCAGGGCATTTCAAAAACAATTCCTGGTTAAGGCCGCCATCTAGTGTCCGTTTGCAAAGCTGTCAGTTGGTTGTTTGTTGTGAAACTAGTGCAACCAAGTCTTTGACATGAGCAATCAGGATAAATAGAAATTAGGCTACTATAATTCTTCAGCTATTAGGATAGTGAGAACTATGGATACAATTTGAAATCAAGAAAGGTTGATCAGTGAGCAGGTGAAGTTAGCAAATGCAAACTGCAACTAGTCCTTGGCTAATAACTTTTCACCAAAGACAATCAGCACAAACCCAAAAGCTGATTCACTGAGTAAATCACTTTGACTGTGTGATGCTGGAGGGTATGCCAGGGTATGAAACAGCATGCTGTAGGTTTATAGGTACATGCACTATAATTTAGGCTGCTAGGAAGTGAGGGTTGTGTCAGTCGGCAAATACTAGGCCACTAAGGCAGTTTCTGAAGCAGCTGAAAAAGTCTGACAGGAAGCTGCAGAAATCATTTCATAACTGAAAAAGCAGCTGAAAAAGTCCGACAGGAAGCTGCAGAAATCATTTCATAACTAGTTATTACGGAATAGCTAAAATACAGACTTTAGTGCCTTACATTAAGCTTTGCTGTTTTCTTTTAGACCTTGGTGTCTGAATCACTGAACAGGCTGCTCAAGCCAAGCTGATCTTTTCAAGACGACGACAACAGAAATAGAAATCGTCAGGTGTACAATGTTCTGCACAAGTTAAAAGCCTGTAAAAATTATTGTAGATATGCTGTAGAGCTCCACAGGTCTGGGTCTGTGGCAGTAATATCTTTTGACATCCTGCTCCAGGGTGATACAGCACATTCCCTCTTACTTCAGCACAATTCTCTTACATCTTACAGTGGCATTTTGGTGTGACGTAAAACAGCAGAAATAAATCTTTTGCAATACCCCTTTTAGAAAAAATTGGTATTTTGATTGTGTAATTAAAATCAAACATTAGGCTAATTGTGGAGTAAAATGTGAAGAAAGTTGGTTAAGAATGCTTTACAGCCATTTATCTTACACTTCATGTACAATAACCTATGCAAGAATTACAACAAACAAAGAAACTATACATACATACATATACATCACATATTGCTATGCTGTATGCTTACAATGTTATTTAAAGGGAAAGTCCAACCTACATTAGAAGTCACATCAAGTATAGCTCAGCTTTGTTTTTCACATACAAATGTCTCTCTATGCTGAAATCATAAATATACCCTGGGATAAATGTAAATGCTCCGTATTTGTATAGTGCCTTTCTAGTCTTTTTGACTTGACAAAGCGCTTTTACACTACATCTGCATTCACCATTCACACACATTCATTTACTGAAACAGCCACCAGGGGCAATTCAGGATTCAGTATCTTGCCCAAATTTGAAGACTTGAGACTTGCTTGACTAAAAACAGACAAAAGACGTAACTTGACTTTGACTTGGTGTTCATGATTTCAGACTTGACTTAGACTTGAGACAATGACTTGAAAATTACTTGATTTTTAAATAGATACTTGCATTCGCTCATTCCTAATAATCCTGCAACCATGTGTGCTTCACGTAACCATAGCAGTCCGGATCCCCGTAACCAGCGGCGTAGAAAAAGACTGTTACATGTAGTACAACACAGACATTCAAGGATTATGTTGTCGATGACGGTAGGAAGAAATGAACAGCGGTGTGCAAGTTTTGCAGCTCAAAACTCAGTGACACGACCACCACAACATCCAACTTCATCCGTCTCTACAGAAGCCATAAAGAAAGGAAGCACAATAAAATGTCCTAAACTAAGAAAAATGTTGACAACATACAGACTGAGTGAACACAGCATGCCCATAGAAAAGGGTCGCCACAGACAGAGCTGCACTTTCTAACCTCATGCCCTAAATATACACTAAGACAAAAATACTTTGCAAACATTTCCCAAGTATACCCCAAAATTCAAATTCATATCAGACACACAGAAACTCCCCTATTTACTGGGAGAAATGTCCCAATGTGAAATAATTGCTGCAAAATATGTCTCCTCATGCCATGAAGTCAGGACAACCAGTGGAAAGTCAGACTGATATATAATTGTACAAATTTTCAGATTATTATTATTTTGATTGCTTGATATTTTAGCAATTATCTATTTTTTTTATTTTTT